GAACTGTTGGCCATGCAGCCGGAATCTCTTTGATTGATTGATTGATTGATTTATTGATGGATGGACTGGTTTGCCCAGCCTGGCCCCCAGGGCAGAAAACACCGGCTATGGTGCTATTGTAATGCTTGTTGGCCCAAACCCAGTGCGCCACGCAGCAAGCGCTGGCGTGCCGTTGCGACTACATGCTACTCACCCTCCGCCAGCCACCATCCACTGCGACGAGCAAAACGTGCGCGGCCACCCAACCCACAACGGGCCCCTGCCGGGACGTTCACGGACTTGATGGATGCGCGGCGTGCCCTGCGTCTGATACATGTATCTGCTCTGCTGTCCCTGCTGAGTCTGCTGTAGAGCCCAAATGCCCCTGACGTCATTCCCAGCCATGCTCACGCCTCTCGCCTCTCGCCTCACATGGGCAGCAGGTGGCAGCCCAGCAGCCCTCGCCCACCCCAATTCCTTCGCGGGGTGAGTTGCATTTGCACACTCTCTGCGGGGCCGCCCGAGACATTTGGTCGCAACGCCTTCACGGCAATGGGCACCTGCAACACGTCAGTCCTGCGCGCACGACAATCGGTAGCATGCCAAGTACCCCTTCGTTCTGCGAAACCACCTCGGCCACCCGCGACAGTCTCTCGTGGTTTGTCCAGTCGATCCAGCCAAACTTGGTTATCGTGTCGCCCACCCGTAGCCCTGCTGTCTCGGCCGGACTGCCCGCCACCACGCTATTGACCTTTGCAAACGGTGCCTCGAGAGTCGCAGGCGGAGCGTTGGCTTCTGGCTGTGTCTGGCTCGCCGCTGCCGGGTTGTTTGCCTGCTCTGCCAGGCGTGCGTGGTGTTCGTGGAGGCCCTTTTCGATGCGCGACATGAGGTCCTTGTAGTCGTTCTTCAGCCATATGATGCGCGCCCGCGTCGTCCGTACTGGAGGCAGGTCAGCGACGAAACTACCATGGGCACGGCGCGCGTAGCCTACTCTGGGCGACGTCAATGTCACTGCGCGGGAAGCCATCGAGCGTCGTTAGGCCGGTACTCATGCGAACGCCATGCTGCAAGCAACGATCAGATGATGACTAGGCGGCGACATGCTTCTCGTGCGTACCGAATCCAGCACCTGGCCTAGAGCCTTGAGCTCTGCTTCGACGCGGTCTTTTTCTGCGATGAGCTCCTGCAGCGACAACTGCTCCTTGGGGACTCCGTTTGAATGGCCCGACGAGGTTGGGCCCGACGACACTGTGGGCGCGTGGATGTCGTCCATGATGGCTGGCTGCTGGCTGCGAGCTGGGGCGCTTCGGTGCTGGAAATCTGCCTGGCGCCCTCTGCCACGAATTGTTGTGCTGCTAGTCGGCAGGCAGAGTAGTACTTGCAGACAAAGTGGGGGAGGCGAGGGGGGCTCAGGGTGCGGGGCAGCGGCAGCCACAGCCACGGACTTTGATGCCGGCCATCCATCACCATGGCGCCTCTTGGACGCTCACGCAATCCGTGGTCCAGCCTGCAAAGCCCCGTCACGTGCACACCGTCTGCACCCACTGCACCCACTGCACCCGGCTTGCAACATGCTGCTACGTGAGACAGCACCGCGCGCACAGAGGCAGCGACACCGCCCGGGGCCACGGCAGCCCGCAGTGGAAGGGGTGCCAGCAGGTCGGCGTGCCACTCGTGCCCGTCGCCCGTCGCTCCTGCCGTCATGATGCTTTTGCAACTCCTCCCACACAGGCGAAAAGCAACGAGGCCGGCCCGCTAGTCGCATCTCGAAACGTGGTCCACTACGCGTCCCCCGGCTGTGTCTGTCCATGGCTCCCACCTTCCTGCCTCTCCAACTCGCCATACCTGCTCACGAGATCGTCGCTTGCTCATAAGACGCTCGCCTGCTTCGGCCTCACCCATGTGCACCTACCTTCCCAGCCTGCCTCTTCGCCTTTCCCGTACAGTGGCTGTTTCCAGCATGCTTGGGCCACCTGTCCGCCCTCTCTGCTCCTCACTTGTCTCTCCCCAGGCCACCGTCGTTGGATGCAGTAGTTCTTATCTCATGCTGCTTCAACCCTCCATGCGCCCCCTGTCACAGTGCCAACCACTACAACGCTGTTGAGATGGCCTATGTGCTATCGCTCCGCCCTCAGAGCCCCCTCAAGCGTTCCTTTAGCGATAACCCATATCCAAATCCCTGCTCGCCTTTTGACGACACTCTCCATGCACCACTGACCCATGCCACGCTCCGCAACGGCTCGGCCCGTTCTTTCTACTCCCTGAGAGACAACAGAGCCGCTGGTCGAGCCCATGCCGATGAGAATGCGCCACCCCTAGCCTCCCAGTCACTGCTCGACCTAGCTTCTGAGAAGAGGATTTACCCAGTTACCACTGCACGTGTTGTGGATGAGCCACGGAAGCGAAACTGTGGCCACGATCGACCGCCACCATCCTTCTGCCAGCCAGAACTGCCGTCTCCCTCAGACGGAGAGGATGGCTACAAGTGGCAGCATGTATCAGAGTCTTGTTCCGAGTATGAAACGGCGGATGGAGAAGGTATGGACCTTGACGACGACAGTTCCGATGAGAACAATACACATGCGAACAACTTTGCCGAGACACATCTGTTCAACTTGTACGAAGCCATTCACGTGCCACTACCCACTGACCAGCCTCCCAACGACACTGGAAGCGCAACGCACGAGCAATATCATGGAGCGCCAGCCATATCTCAGGCTTCTTCGCAGCCATTCCGGCGGTGGATGAGTACCCTAAAGCGTCGGCATGCCCAGCGATGGAAAGAAGAGATTATCGACCTACCGCGCTCGTCCATTGACACAGTCAACACCATGTCAGTTGTTTCGCAGCCGCTCGGGCGCATCCCCGAGTCTATACGGCGGGCTAACGGCTCTCTGACCTCTTCAATGGAGTATGTAACCGCGATGAAGTCTACTTCGATAACGGTTGGAAGTACAAGTATCGCTCCTCGCTCCGATGCTGGCCTGCCGAGCAGGGTTCGTTTGGCCAACAGAAGCAGCAACCTCTCTGAAGTTCGCCGATCACTCGACAGTCACCGTGGCGCATTAGGACCTGTGCTGGATGAGAGCGCCTGGCTCCGAGCGCTGCAACGCCGTAAAGTTGTCGAGGAGCTGATTGCTTCGGAAGAGGGTTACATTGCAGATCTCAAAGTTCTAATCAACGTGTGTAGTTCCCCAACTAACATGACTCGGGCTGTCCGCTAACCTATTCAGGACTACTTCATGATTCTTACTGCCCTCCCCACTCTACCAGGACACACCAAATCATCTATACAGCAAAACCTATTTCAGATTCTACAGCTTCATGAGGATCTGCTTGCCGATCTTCATCAGGTTGTCCCTCATGCCGACTTCACAAAGAGTGCAAACCAGGAAGCACTCCCTGCAACAAAAGCCAAGCACATTCGCTTCAACAGTGCGGACGTCACTCCAAGTCGCCTTGCTGACCACAGAGCCACTCGACGGCTCAGACACTCCTTAGAGATAGGAAGGTCTCCGGAATGTAGATCACGTGGACTGGCAACGGATACTGAAACGGCTGGGAATATCGCCAAGATGTTCAACAAACATGTTCGCTATTCATTCAAAATTGAAAAAAAAGCTAAGCTGACAATGTCTAGATGAGACGATTCTTCACCTATGAAGAGTATGGCGCACACTGGACGACCATGTCTCAGGATCTGATGTCCATATGCAAGGGCCTGCATGGCTGGCAAGAGTACGAAAGAGGCATCGAAGCTTTGCAAAAGGTGATTGCTTCGCAGAACAATCGCGAAGCTGGCAGCAGAAAAGCGCTGAGTTTCTCGGACCTTCTCATCAAGCCCATTCAGAGGGTCTGCAAATATCCACTTCTCTTTGACGACTTATGTCGCCATACTCCCGTTTATGACGATCCGGAGGCGCATGCCGAACTTGAGAAAGCCCTCTTTCGTCTACAAGAAACAATCCGCGAAGTGAACAAAGCCAAGGACGATCCTCAAACTCGAAAACTGATTGAAATCACCTGGCAGCTGCAAGATCGGCTCGCGTTCCAAGAACACAAGGTTTCTAAAGCCCTTGTCTTTCGCATGCTCGGCCATGTGCTGCTTTGCGGTGTCCTGCATGTGGCATATCAAACGCCTGATCGTATCAAAGGATCCTACATGGTGTGCGTGTTGTATAGATCGTGTCTGGTACTTGCCACAGCAAGCAGATTCCATACCCCTCTCACTGTTGTCGCCTCAATTGCTCTTGCCAATGCAAGTATCGAAGACGCTGACAATGGTCGTGGGATGCAATGTCATACCGCACCACATACATGGAAGTTTGTGTTCGAGCATGGCCATCGCCTACACGAAATGATCTTGACCGCGTGCTCTTCTGTAGAAGAAGAAGCATGGAAGAATCAGCTTCGTGAGCGCATTGTTTACGAGACGCATGACTTTGTCGAAGGCCAATCCACCATGCAGGACATGTTCACATCCATAACACTGGACCTGAAGTCTATCGGTCCTGTTTTTGGTCATGCAAACAGCTTGGTGCGACGCATGTCGGTTCATCGAGCGGCGACCTTGGGTACCAAGACAAATACGAACCAGGTCATCATCAAGAATACCCAGGCTCAGAAATTTCCTGATTCCTCTCCACCGCTGTCCCCTGGTATGGTTGCGAGATCCCAATCGCACCTATCCCCAAACCACATTCCCGCCCTAGTACCAAGACGAGCCGAGCGCATTCGCCTAGAACACATCCTAGAAGATGTATGGACAAAGGACGCTTTGCCGTTCCCAGGCATGTCAAGTCGGCGAATGGAGAATCAAATCAGAGCATCGGCCAACTCGGTCATGCGGAAACTAAGCATGGCAAGCATTGCCAGTAACTTCTCGCGTCGCTCACCCAGTCTTTCGAACACGAGCAACTCAAAATCAGATGATTCATCCAAAGGCCGAGTTTGCAAGACGCCTCATGGAACTGTACGGTCTCATTCGGTAGCTGAGCGACGACCAGTGCCAGCTGTCGTAGACTTCCACAGCGCCCCAGCAGCATTTCTGCCAACCGACTTTGAAGTAGAAGATCCGCGACCTTCTAGCAGACATCGACGCCTTGCAAATTGTACTGGAGATGCAGGAACAGCGGTTGAGAAGTCTTTACAGGTCAAGCCAAAGAAAGTCCGGCGTCTTTCCAGTCACATGATTGGCATACCGCGGTCGGAATCTGCGAGACGTGCGGTACAGAGAACTTCTTCTCACGAATTAGCAGCAAAAGCATTGCGCGCGGCCCCTCCGCGTGTAGATGCCGAAACGGGCACGGAGAACAAGAAGATGAAGGCGGGACGGATGAAGGGCCGCGAAACCAAGTCGGGTTCACCATGCGCCACCCCTTCGAGGAAATTCTTGAAAAGCAAGAACAGAATATTTAATCTTTTCCGATGACTTTAGATGCGTAATGGTGTGGAGGGTCAGGTTGGATTATGGCGCTTGCAGGTAATGACGGTTGAGGTGCAAAGCGAACAAACTTCTTTCATGATGGAGCTACCACGACCTTACGATACACTACATCCTTGCGGTAATAGCGAGATAAGATATGGATATTACGACCAACCCGATAGACAACGGAATACGCATGACATGATGGCGATCAAATGATATTAATGCAAGGCACCCGCAGGAACCTGAGAATCGGTGGAGATGGCATGACGTCATTGGCTGTGGGCTGTGGGGTTGAGCTGACACGCGATCGTGTGATGGAGGGCTCCATTGCAAAAAGACACGTATATTTGGATAGCAACAACAAGGCTAGAACCAATAACGTCATCTCTAGATACGAAACGTGGCATGATCTTTTTTTCCGTCTTGGTGCATCTGTGTGAGATTCACTTTGGTGAGAGGAGAAAATGAATGTCCATATGGGCGTGTTTGCTTCGGTCGAATGTTGACAATAAGACCCCAAGCCAGCCTACGGCCCCATCGCTCAGCCTCAAGTTCCGGCATGAGCCGCAAGGCTAATCACGGTGTGAGGGCTTGCGTATCCCCATATTTTGACTTTAGCATGCCATGCTTCGAGAACACAGGCCCAAGCTTGGCAATGACGTAGTGTCTCCGGTCATAGCTCACGAGCTTGCTAAATAGCCCCTCCAAAGCTTCCCCTCCATCCACCACCACACTCTCACATAACACACATTCTCAACTCTCGCATTCAAGTTATCTCTCATACTCCATTCAACAACTCTTCTAAACCGATCAAACTCGACACATCAGCAACAATGGCTCGCGGAAACTCACCTCAGACTCAAGTCTTCTACAAGGGTAGCAACGGCGATCTGTTCACCGTCTTCGTCGAGAGCGAGGAGCAGCTTAAGAAGTGGAAGGCCGACAGCAGTATTCCCATGACCGAGGTTGTGGCTGGATGGAAGATTATGGTTCCTGAGTAGGTTCTTCTCTGTGTTCTTGGACTCGGCTCAAAGTGAAGCTCGAGAGTTGTTTGTTCAGCGCCGAACAGGGCCACCTACTGCATGGAGAGCTTCATCGAGCGCTTACATATAGAAATAAAATGTATCATGAACGAATCAGCTAACAGTTCACACATAGACATGGCAAGCAAGGCATCCTCAACACTGCTAGCAAGGGCCAGCTTGAGAACGAGTTTGGCACCAGCAACGAGGATGAGGTCATGAAGAAGATCCTCACCAATGGCAGTGTTCAATCTTCCGAGGTGAGTGGCTCCTTTCTCTCTTTCTTCATAATTTCTGATCGCTAACATGAATGGTACGCAGAACTCGGAACGCATCGGCATCACCAACGAGACTCAGGGCCCACGTGTCGCCCACTAGGCGTGTTCCATCTGGCTTCTTTGAGAAGCAGTGACGATGACTCGACTTCTTTCCACTTCGATATGATATCACGATTTTGCAAGGGCAGCTTGCTCCTGGCCTGAAAGATTGGTCGGCTGGCTGGAAAGGGTACATAGTTTGCAAGATCTGTGCTGAAAAGCCAGACGACTACACCCAATTATTTACACAGCAAATAATTTACGGATGAATGAATGATAATTATCGACATGAAATGAGGCTGTATGAGTCCCAGAACCTGATTAGCATCTATGACATGCATCGTGCAGATTCACTGGGTACTTGGTGTTCAAAACTAATTACAGCAGTGTGACGGCTTCTACAGATACCGCAAATTACCAACCACGTATGTAGTGCACGTGATTTTGTTCTCGTCAAATCTAGAGAGTGAGGGATAGTAGCACACACACACGGCCAATCTCAATAAGAACACTTGCCACAATACCCACAGTCATCAGCCGAGCATGCAGTATAATCCGGCTCGGACCCCGAATCATACTCGCTGCCATAGTACGAATCATACTGCCTGCTCAACCTAAAACCCCCATCCTCATCATCATCACCAAATCCATTATCAACCGGAGAATCCGCACGCCTCCCACCCTCATGCTTCCCATTATCCTCCCACCTCTCTCTCAACCACGACGGCAACGCCCCCTTCGCCTCCCCAAACTGCATCCTGACCTCCAACCTCTCCTTGCCTGGACAATAAACCTCTAACAACGTCTCCTTCGCACCAACGGGACTCTTCTCGCGCGCAATCGCGACCAACTTCCCCAACAAGCCCGCGAATTTCTTGATGCCAAGCTTGTTTTCAGTGGCCCAGTCGCGGACCTCTGGTTCGATGTTCTGGACGGAGATGTCGGTGAAGAGGCCGGCGCCGTCGTGGTATGCGGTAATGAAGTTTGGGATGCGTTTGAGCCAGAGTTGCGGGTAGATGTCTGTCATGTCTATTTTCTTGCCGTGTTTGCCGGAGCGGGTTTTGAGGTCGAAGAGGGCGGTTTGAGGGATGATGGTAGGGGTGGTGGTGGAGGAGGAGGAGGTTTTGATGGTGAGTTTGGGGGTGGCGGGGCGGGAGGGGATGCTGAGGTCTTGGAAGGCGAGGATGAGGTCTTTCTCCGAGTCGTTGTTGTCGGAGTCGGAGTCGGAACGAGGAAGTGGAGTGGTGTCTTCGAAGGAGGGATCGGGGATGTAGCCGTCGCTTTCGAAGCGGAGGAGATGGGTTAGGCCGCCGAATTTGTAGCGGATGATGCGTTGGTGGGAGATGGAGTTCTTGGGGTCGCTCCAGGTGGTGTAGGCTTCAGGGAAGGTATGGCCGTAGCCTCGCACGCCTTCGATGAGTTGCTTGGGGTCGTTTTCTTTGCGGATGAGGAAGACGGTGCGGTTGATTACTTGCAGGTTGAAACGGAAGGGTTTGTCGATACCGCGGGCGAAGCGGAGGAGGTTTCCTAGTGTGCTGCCGCAGGCAAAGATGTCGATGTCATCAGTGCAGTAGTAATTGTCTTGTTCGAGCACGGCGTGGACGGCGGGTGCCATGGGGTAGGAAGGATCTTTTGCGGCGTTCAGATCGCGGAAGTATTGGCCGTTGTCCTCTTTGAGGCGTTGTGCTTCTGCGAGAGGCGTCCATTGTGGGGGTTTTCCTGGGGTAAGTTTAAAGTTAGACAAAGATGGACACTGAAGATGATCACATGAAGTTAGACCTGCCTGGTACGACAATAGTAGGGTTTTTGTCGTCTGTCCAGTTGTAGGATGAAACGTACTCGCAGCCAGATATCTCGATAGAATGTGAGGTAGTGCTCGTTCCCACTTTTAGGTCTGACGCGCTGATCGTCCCGATGAGATCTCCAAGAGGGTGTTTCTTAAGATCAGGTTTCGGCTGTTCCCTGGGCTTGTTGAAATTTGGATATCTATTGCCTCGGCCTTGCCCTCTACGTGGAGCAAAGCCGCCTCTACTGCTGGTGCCTGTGAATGGATTCATCGTGGCAGTGTTTGAAATAGGATCAAAGAAAGGATGAAATAAATGCTGGGTTGTTATGCTGGCCAGGAATTGGGTCCTGAATTCAAGGATTTTTCCCAGAAAGATGGCGGCAAGCTGCTCTTAATCAGTTCATGCTGCCTGGACAAGGCTGAGGCATTTGTGGCGTGGTTTGCTCAACATACACAAAGGGATGGCACAGCGCACAGCTGATAGGCGTCGATCCGCCCAGTTTCCACCATGCAATGCAGGCAGACGTATCGAATTGCTTTGCCGCATTGTAGAGGGCAGGGTTTGTCTTCCAATCGTTTGCACAGCCTGCTATCAGAGAAGCGTCTTGTATGCGCTGGGCCCTGTGCTACCAAGCCACCCATTATGCCTTGAGTAGTTTAAAAGAACCAAAACTCTTCAGGGAACACATGCAGAAAATACGCAACTCTTAACCTCTTTGAAACAAAACCATCCATCAGCAAGATATCAGCCTCTCACACACATGGAGGACCAACCGGCTGCGGCAAAGCGAGCTGCGGGGCTGACGAAGCTCTTCAATGCCGTCATCCATGGCCGTCGTGAACTCAAGACGGCAGCTGATGGCGGCCGATTCCTGGAAGCGCTGTGTGCCCAGGGGGATGCGTCCAAGTGCGTGGAGTGTTTGGTTGCAGCTCCTGGCGGCTTGGGCGCGGTTGCGAAGGCGTTCCGTTTCGCAGGCGATGGCGCTTTCCTGAACGGCTTGGCCTCTTCCGTCCTTCTACATCTCTCCCAACCATCCGTCAAACAACTTTACGGCGGTCAATTCCTTGAGCGCGTTCTGGAGGCTATTGTGCAACCCCCGACGTTCTGGAATACACTTGTGCAGGCGCATGCTACCGGGCTTCTCTCGGTAGATGGCACGCGCGCGTTTGCGTGGCTGTTGCTTGAGCTATTGTGCAGTCGCTCCAATGACATGCCAGATGTGCGACCCATTGCTGAACAAGTTACCAGCGAAAAGTCGCTCATCGATGCGCAGTCTCTAGACGTCCGCAATTTGGGTCAGAAAATCAAGCACGTTTTAGAAAGCACATCCGATGATTCTGTCGATGGCCCCGGTGGCCGGCACGACAACGACAAAGCGGACTATCGCAAGATCAAGCTATTGCCAACACCAGATGAATTTGTGTCAGACGCGCAGCCATTTTACAGGCGCGCAGATGTTGTCGCTTCGGCTGCTCCAGAAGGCCGCAGCCTGATACATCTTGACAATCAATTTCGCCTGCTTCGCGAGGATCTTTTGGGTGAATTGCGCAGCGACTTTCAGATTGCCGTTGGCAAAAAGAAGGGGCGGCGCAAATTGGTACTCGAAAATCTGCAATACGCTGGTATTGACTGTGGTCTGGATAGGAAACACAAGCCCTGCTCGTTGAGGCTTCGTTGTCCCAAGGGTATCCCTCAACTACGCAATCTCAGAACCGTAACCGATCGTAGGAGGGAGCTCGCCAATAACAAAAATATCTTGAAGCACCTATCTCTTGGATGTCTTGTCAGCAACGAACAGCTTATCACTTTTGCATATGTGGACCGTGATGAGAACCTTCTTGCTCAGGACCCTGCTGTAGTTGTACTCCGGATCATCGACGCTAGCTCCTTTGGCAAGGTTTTGATGGCGTGCAAGATCGCCCAAGATCTTTCCTTTGTACAGGTTGACACCGCTGTGTTTTCGTATGAGCCAATCCTCAAATGCCTTCAATCTCTTAAAGAACTACCGCTGGACGATCAGCTGCTCAATCTCACGCCAGATTCTGCGGAGGCAGTCTCAGGTATACAACCAACCTATATCATCGACAGGATTCGAAGGAACTGGAACCAAGATCTACAGGACATTGTCGACAGTACACATGCTATCAATTTGGATCGAGCTCAAGCAGAATCGTTGTTGGCTGGTCTTATGAAAAGAGTAAGTCTTATACAAGGTCCTCCTGGTACTGGTAAAAGCTTCATTGGTGCGCTCATCGCCAAAATCCTGCACGACCATACCAGAGAGAATATACTCGTTCTTACTTACACCAACCATGCCCTTGATCAGTTCCTTGAGGACATACAGGAAGCCGGCGTACCGCCTCAGTCAATTGTACGACTTGGCTCCAAGTTTACTGCTGCCACTCGAGCATTGAACATCAGGGAACAGCCAAACAATTACAAAATGACCAGTCAAACATGGCATAGCATCCAAGAACAGAGAGCCAAGGAAGATTCGTATTACGTTTCTCTTCACCAAAAAGTAGCAACGTTTGCTTCGGTGCAACTTGATCACAAAGCCATACTCGAGTACTTGGAGTTTTCAGAGGATTCAGAGTATTTTGATGTATTCATCGTCCCGGACAGCGACGACGGCATGAAAATTGTGGCCAGGAACAACAAGCAGGTTGACAAATACTATTTGGTGCAAAGATGGCTTGGAGGCGAAGATGCCGGCGTATTTGCTCGCGACGCAGCGCAACAATATCCTCACATCTGGCAAACTTCGTTACAATCACGGATGAACCGTCAGATGAAGTGGCGCAAAGCAATACTGGAAGAGCAGCTTGCCGAAATCTCAAATCTGGTTGACAAATACAACACGTGTCGCGCTGAGATCGACATTCTATATCGCCAGAAAGACTTCCATGTGCTCAATAACAAACGAGTTATCGGGTGCACTACCACAGCCGCTGCTATGTACACCGACGAGATCCGAAAAGCAGCACCTGGTATCATCTTGGTAGAAGAAGCTGGAGAAATACTCGAGAGCCATGTACTGACAGCACTGTCACCGTCTACAAAACAACTGATCTTGATAGGCGATCACAAACAACTTCGACCCAAGGTAAACAATTACGAACTGACTGTAGAGAAGGGTGAAGGCTTCGATCTGAACGTGTCTTTGTTTGAACGATTGGTACTTAGTGGCGTTCCACATACTACGCTCACCAAGCAGCATCGCATGCGCCCCGAAATATCATCGCTCGTCAGGTCACTCACCTATCCAGAACTGGAAGATGCCGAGAAAACTAAAGGTCGGCCAGCACTGCGCGGTTTTCAGGATAACGTGATGTTTATATCTCACTCGCACCCGGAACTGAACGCAGAAAAGATAGCTGACCGGCGTGATGGTGGGGCCAAATCTAGCAAGGAAAACAAATACGAGGCTGAAATGGTTCTCAAGTGCGTGCGGTACCTCGGACAGCAAGGCTATGGCGCAGGGGAGATCGTAGTACTCACTCCCTATCTCGGCCAGCTGTATTTGCTTTTGAATACACTCTCCGCAGACAACGATCCTATATTGAATGATCTTGACTCGTACGAGTTGATAAAAGCAGGTCTGATGACAGCGGCTAGTGCAAACATCACCAAACGCAAGCTTCGCATATCGACAATTGGTGAGTAACCATATTCCGCTCTCAGCACGCCCTAACATCACTTCAGACAACTACCAAGGTGAGGAGAGTGATATAGTTATTGCCTGTCTCACAAGGAGCAACAAGATTGGAGATATCGGCTTCATGTCGTCCCCTCAGCGTGTGAATGTGTTGTTATCACGAGCACGCAATGCCCTCATAGTTATTGGAAACCCAGAAACTTTCATGAACAGTCGCAAAGGCAAGGAGGTATGGGTTCCACTCATGAATCAGCTGAAGCGAGATGGTCATGTCTATGACGGCTTTCCTGTCAAATGCGGACAACACCCGGATAAAACCGAGCTCTTAACCAAGAAAGAGCATTTTGATTTGTTTTGCCCAGACGGAGGCTGTTCAGAGCCATGGTATGTAAAGTTTCCAGATATATTGACCAAAACTAATAAGACCAGCGGCAAACTTCTCATATGCGGTGTTCATACCTGCCCAAGCAAATGTCACCAGTTGCAGGACCATTCGAAGATAGATTGCAAGGCTATCATCTCATCAACATGTTCCAACAATCACAAATCCACAAGAAAATGCCATGAAAAGGTCCCGGAGCATTGTCGAAAATGCGAGGCGGAGGTGCGAGCGCAGGAAAGGAGACGCCAACGAAATCACGAGTTGGACAGGGAACGTCAGGCCAGACAGCAGGCATATGCTGCACGTTTGGCCGAAATCGAAGAAGAGATCGAGCATAAAAAGCGTACTTTGAGAGAGCAAGCCGATGAGCAGGATCGCCAGCAGGCATTGAGACAAAAGGAGCAAGATCTTCGCAACCTGCAAGAGAAGATTAAACGTCCTAGACAACAAGCGGCTCCGTCAAATTCACCGCCCAGCTCCTCAGCAAGTTCATCGAGCAAAACGAAAACACCAGACTGTGACCCCGCAACTCCGAAGGCGACAAAGACCCGAGCAGATAGTGCTACAGCCAGCAACAATTCCCCTGCTTCGGACCAGAACAGAAGCCAGTCCGATTGGAACAAGAGTGAAGCAAGAGACGATTGGGAATGGCAAAAGAAATTTCAAGGTGCCGAGAATAAGGCACTGGACTCCCTAATACCTATGATAGGTGCGATTCTCTATTTTTACAATGCACATGCGCTAACCTCCATTAGGGCTTGAATCTGTCAAACAGCAATTCCTCGCAATCAAAGCAAAGGTCGACACAGTAGTACGCCAAAATGTATCACTGAATGGAGAAAGATTTGGTGCAGCTTTGCTTGGTAACCCTGGAACTGGTATGGCCGACGTGCGTATACAAGACTGATTGCTAACTCATCGAAGGTAAAACAACAGTAGCCCGTTACTATGCCCAGTTCCTGGTTGAAGTTGGTGCCCTTCCCGGAGATCACTTTATTGAGAGTTCTGGATCAGCTCTCGCAAACGATGGCGTCTCGGCCTGTAAAACCCACATAGAGACAATACTCAAGAACAACGGAGGTGTTTTCTTTATCGATGAAGCATACCAGCTGGTTTCTGGAAACAGTTCTGGGGGGAAAGCAGTATTGGATTATCTGCTTGCAGAAATCGAAAACCTTACCGGCAAAGTCGTTTTCGTGCTGGCAGGTTATCACAAGCAGATGGAAGCATTCTTCTCCCATAACCCTGGTATCCCAAGCCGCATACCAATCCGGATGGAGTTCCAGGATTACGAGGATCGGGAGTTGCAGCAGATCTTCTGCCAGTACATCCAGAAGAAGTATAGTGGAAGCATGAAGATAGAGGATGGCATGGATGGTCTCTATGTTCGTATTGTGGCCCGACGGATTGGTCGTGGTCGCGGTCGCGATGGCTTTGGCAATGCGCGCGAGGTGCAGAACAAGATTTCACAAATCACAGAACGCCAGGCAAAGCGTCTCCACAAGCAGCGAAGAGCTGGTAAGATGCCGGATGATAATCTGCTGACTAAAGAAGATTTGATCGGTCCAGAGCCTTCCTCAGTGCTCAAGAACAACGCCGCATGGGAGAAACTCCAAACACTCATCGGCTTGGGTTCTGTCAAAGAATCAGTGCGCACTCTACTCGACGGAATTCAGACCAATTATTACCTCGAGTTGCAGGAGAAGCCAATCATCCAGTATTCTTTGAATCGTTGCTTCATTGGCTCACCAGGCACAGGTAAAAGTTTCCCAATGCACGGATGGTATGGAATGAGTACTGACTTTGCGAAATACAGGGAAAACCAGCGTAGCCAAACTCTTCGGTAAAATTCTAGCTGATATCGGGCTTTTGTCCAGTGGCGAAGTCGTGGTCAAAAACCCAGCAGATTTCGTTGGCAACGTAATAGGCGGATCAGAAGCCAATACAAAAGCTATTCTAGCTTCGACTGTTGGCAAGGTACTGATCATCGACGAAGCCTACATGCTTGCCGGTGGTGGAAAGCCAGATATCTTCAAAATCGCAGTCATTGATACGATTGTCGCAGAAGTCCAGAGTACCGCAGGCGAAAATCGCTGTGTACTTTTACTGGGATATAAGGATCAGATGGAGGATATGTTCCGAGATGTCAACCCCGGGCTCGCAAGACGCTTTCCGCTTGAGTCTGCCTTCGTCTTTGAAGACTTCAATGCAACGGACATACGCCGTATCTTTGATCTCAAGCTCAAGGACATTGGGTTCGATGCGACAGATCAAGCCAAGAAGGTAAGAACCAACACCTACAGAATTGCGATATACTCACACATGATCTTTCAGGTTGCTATGGAGGTTTTAGAACGTGCGCGTAATCGTCCGAACTTCGGAAATGCGGGAGAAGTTGATATCATTCTGGACCGCGCCAAGGCATTACACCAGAAGCATGTCTCTGCGGGCAAGGTGAAGCAATTCGGGAAGTTTGAAGCTATCGATTTTGATCCTGACTTTGACCGGGGCGAACGGGCCGCAACTAACCTACAGGCACTCTTCCAAGACGTTGTGGGATGTGAGGAGCTCATCAAACAATTTGACGGTTATCAAACTACTGCCGCCAACATGAAAGCTCTCGGAATGGATCCCCGCGAACAGCTACCCTTCAACTTCCTTTTCAAAGGCCCGCCTGGTACTGGTAAGACGACTACAGCAGCAAAAATGGGAAAAATATTCTACGACATGGGCTTCCTCAGTCAGGCCAAGGTGGAGGAATGCTCTGCAACTGATCTGATTGGGCAATACATTGGCCACACAGGACCAAAGGTGCAAAAGCTTATGGAAAAAGCCATGGGTAAAATCCTTTTCGTCGACGAGGCTTATCGACTTGCTGAAGGCCAGTTTGCAACCGAAGCGATGGACGAGTTGGTCGACTGTTTGACCAAAGAAAGGTTCGCGCGGAAACTTGTTGTGATTTTGGCTGGCTACGACAAGGATATCGACCGGCTGATGAGTATGAATCCTGGCCTTACCAGCCGTTTCTCTGAAACTGTTTTGTTCAAGCATCTAGAGCCATCTACTTGCTTTGAGCTACTGAACAAGGTACTCGGCGACTTCCAGAAGAAAAAGAAAGCGCCGCTCGACATCTCTGTTATCGATCCCCCTTCGGAGAAGTTGAGAAATCGTTTGCTAGAGCTCTTCAGGAAATTGTCGGTCCTGGAATCGTGGGGCAACGCTCGCGATGTGAAATCTCTTGCTAAGAGCATGTTCCAGCGACTGATTTCGACAGCTGTTCCTCCCATTACCAGTCTCGTCTTGACTGAAAACATTGTCGTCGATGAAATGGAAGCAATGCTCGCTGAGCGTTCTAAACGCAATGCTGCCGCAGGCACCAGTCGTTTTGCTAAACAACCGAATTCGCGACCAACGTACCAACCACAATCGCATGATGCCAGTCCACCAGGTCCATCAGATCCAAACGTTGGTACAGACTCTAAATCTGCGCCTCCCCCGGCGCCGCCATCTGCCGGGAAGGGACCTGAACCACAAAAGGATGCACCGAAATCACCGGAGAAGAAACCTAAGTCAGCCACTGAACCCGAAGATGATCTCTACTCCATTTTCAAGGCCAGGCGCGATCCAGGAGTGTCTGACGAAGACTGGGAACAACTTGAGCGCGATAAGCGCTCCATGGTTGCGAGGGAAGAGGAATTTCGTCGTCTGCAAGAGCAGAAACGTAAAGAGGAGGAACAGATCAGGGAGTTTATTCGTGCGGAAAAAGCTGCTGCTGATGAAAAGGAGCGACGTGCAAGGGAACAAGCGCGCATCGCAGCTGAGCTGGAGAGAAGACGTCGCGATGAAGAATTGGCGGCTATTGAGAGGAAGCGACAGAAGGAGAAGGAGAGACAGAGCAAGTTGCGCATGTTGGGACCGTGTCCAGCTGGCTTCGTGTGGATCAAGCAGGCCAGTGGGTATCGGTGTGCGGGCGGGAGTCACACGCTATCTGACGACGCTGTCGATGCATACTGTCGTTGAGGGTGAAGCTGAGGGTGCGTGGCAGGATGTTTATGGTTTTGTGTAGGAAGAGAGGGGTAGTAGTGTGCTCCCACCTATTTGGTAGCGAACTCTTATCATGTATTGTATTCGGCGCAGTCATGGGCGCCGCATTGTAGCGAACACTTTTCAAACCCACGCTTGGCAGTCCCTACACGTGACGAGTCTCTGCCTTGACCCATACTACTAGATCTTTCCTTGATCGATGCTTGAGGTAGGGATGCTAAGCATAAACGTGTAGGTAGATAAGGTTGTGAACTCGAAACTTGAAAAGACGGTTGCAGGGACATCGAGTCGGCCAAATGCCAGCAAAATAACGAATCAAAAGAAGTCGCGCGTGTTAATGACACTTGTACGGGAGATGTGCACGAATGATGTGCACGATGCTGGATAAGCTAGACGTGGACTTGGGCGGCGATGACTTGCTGCGCCACAAAGTGTTGGAAGGTAGAGACTGGGTGTGACGCGTCCAAAGACGTCAGCTAACAGATACTCCAGTGACAATCGGATTGCACTGTTGCATGCCAAGGGGCGAACTCGTTGGGAAAATTCTAAAGGAGACGGCTAGACAGGCGTCGGTATATTGGCATTCACATACTACTTACAAAGAATGCGGAGTGGCCGCGGGTGAGGGCAGAGTACAGAGTGGCGCAGCGACTCAGCCACAGGGTGCGTGATTCGCTGATGCTCTGGGCCTTTATGCCGCCACCCTCTTGACGTAACCGCCCAGGAGGCGCCGCAACACCAGTTGCGGCAAGCTGGGCACTCGACTCCCTGCCGCTTGCAATCCATAAAAAGGCCGTCATTCTGTCCTCGTGCCCTAAAATAGACGATATCCCCTCTTTCTTACCTGATCCCTTAGAAATAGCCGCCCTGCAGCTTCTCCATATCCTTCGCTCCCCCAACACCATCCCACACCGAATCCTCACAAGAGTACTCCTTTCGCAAGCATGAGCGGCCATGGCGATCCTCGATTGCTCTACACGATTGGAGGCATCAAGGCCTACCACATCCAGCAGGGTGAGGAGAGTCCCCTGACTCCCTCTGGGCCACAGACACTGTCACTATTGATGGTGCCCACAAACTCGCCCTTTGCAGATAGCAGCGCGCGCGGTCAGAACGAAGCGGCCGAAGAAGACTTTTACCTACATCTCAACCTCCCTCCCGAGCTCGACCTCCCCCTCCCTGCGACGACGCAGATTTACCACCAGCCACCGCGAAGCTACCTTATACCGCGATGGGATCTGGGTCCAGACAGCCACGCCTTCACGCGCATTGAGTTCCCGCCGATTGGCAAGGGCTCCAATTCCGTCACGCAAGAAGATATTGACACGTTCGAGACTATCTTGGCGCAGTGCACAGCCTTCCTCGAGCGTGCGCAAGCGCCATCACACGAGAAGGGCAAGGGTGATGTCAAGGCATACAACCCTCAAAACTACAGGCCTGGCGAGGGCTACGCAAGCTCTGTTGGCCAGGGTGAGGTTGTCTTGGTAGACGAGGAAAACGGCAGCATTGTAGGCGAGCTGGCCGAGGGTGCTCAAGTCCATGCTGATCCAGCAATCAAGCAAGGGTCCAAGAGTAAGTCGCTCAGAGTTGTTTGCGGCGCGTTCCTCACTCATACTAACACAGATAAAGATCCCGTCGAGATTGTGGTATCGCCAGATGGTAAGCGTATTGACATCAAGCCCCTCGACGAAGATTACCTTGACATGGCCCGCCATCCCGCATACAAGGACTCTGGCCTGGTACAAAATGCCGCCGCAGCGTCGCGACTTGTCGTTACAGGCTCCAGCTACCTTAGCAACCTCATGGTGTCTGGTGCAGAGAACTTTATAAACAAAACTAAGCCAAACGAGAAGCCCATGGTCTTCAAGCCCGCTACCCACGAGCGCGCCCGCAAGATCAACACCTTCACCACTGGTGTTGCTGGTTATTCGGCCAAAACTGTCGGTCAAATCACAAAGTATGCCCAAAACGCAGCAGCAGGTATGGCGGGACATAAGAAGACGTACGCTAAGAGCGTTAACCCTGACGGCACACCAAATGCAAACTACAAGCCCGGTCTACTGAACAAGAGCTTGATCGCATTTTCGACTGTTGCCGATGGTATCTCGCATTCCGGTAGGCAGATCCTCACTAGCGGTGGTGCTGCTGCCAGTGCTGCTGTAGGACACAAGTATGGCGCAGAGGCGGGACAAATTACCAGCAACCTTGCCGGCGGTGTCAAGAACGTTGGTCTCGTATATATCGACGTAACTGGCGTCAGCAGAAAGGCCATCATCAAGTCTGTTGCCAAGGGTATGGTCGTCGGCAAGGTCAAGGACAAGAAAGGCAATGAGCAAACCGTCATGGTAGGAGGTGGTGATGGAGGTGTGATAGACAACGACATGAAATCGCAGTATCAGTACGCGACCACCAACACAGTCGCCCCTCCCAACCAGTCTTCTACCCCCACACCTGGTGGGCAAGTTTCCTTTGGTGGACCACCACCAAGTTACCGTACTGGTGTTGGCGAGTCGCTTGAGGGACAGCCAGCATATTACCCGAATGAGAAGAGGTAGATACCCAATAGCCGGTCTATGTACACAGGTTTCACGAGAAATGAGATTACGATACAGGTTATCAGCATGATATGTAGGGTGGCATTCGATTGATACGATTATACGTTGAAGTTGGCTTTTTAATATGCTTAGGTGTTATCATAGCAATTACATGGTTTTAGGGGAAGTGATAACTTTTATGTCAGTATCATGCATGACTGTCAAACCAACGGTCGCCCATGTATTTGCCTATGCATGTCAACTGCTGCCTCGATGTGGACTCCCACCTTTGTATTGGAGATATCAAGTTTTGACTTCGAGTTTTTGGAAAAACGGTCGCATGCCGTTCAACCGCCACACAAATGTGAATCAACAACTTTGCGAACTTCTTTGTGGGGCGTACATGGATGCTGAAGAAATGTACAGGATGGAGAGGGGGGTTGTAGTGGCCTGTCTGCAAGCGAGGCTGCTGACAGGAAGGCGATTAGAAATGAGAAAGATTCCTTATTTATTTCTCTTGTATGTGGAGCGAGCGTTGCTCCTAATGATCTCAATAGAGAATACATGCATTATTTGCAGTCGATTAATGCTAAGTGTAAACCGTGGTGAGGAGGGCACGTGTCGCTCGTTAGTCGACGATACAGTATTGTTATGCACAAATCTTAGGCTCAAACTTTTGCACACCTCCTGTTCGAAGTGACTTGTCAGACAGGACAGCAACATCCGTTCGCAAATGTCCACCTGATCGCAGCAGAGGTTATTGATCGTGCTATAATAAGTGATGACACATGTCTCCTTGACGTGAACCACGTTGGATTGTATCACGTCATCCTGGTCGAAACAGCGAACTTACGAGGATGACAGCCCGCGCCAAAATCTATCCGCACCCGATTCTGGTGTTGTGCATATAAACACTGCCACATGTGACATCTGCTGGAACATGTATGAGTATTTGAAACAACGAGCTCTATTTTGGGTCGATAAAAAACCGTGCAGAACCATTGTAGTGCCTGCACTAAAAGTGGCAATTATACTAGGAATACTTTAGTGCATGAATGCATTTGATACAAGACAGGCTTTTGCAAATACACTGCCAATTTGCTCTATTTGACGTTTGAACCACCCCTTTTGTTCTACCACATGTGACAAATAGCGTTAATGACATGCTCAGCGCACTTGGATGTCGAACAGGTGCTTAGCACGCATTGACTAAGCCAGCAAGATAAGGCATCGCGCCAAGACAGTAGTACTCATGGCAAGTCATACTCGTGACAGCACTTCTGCCTTTTGCGCAACCGCGCGCTGGCACTACAGAGACATACTCGCCGTGCCAGTCAAACCGCTAGGTAACAGCAGCCTCTGTGCTCTCAAAGCACAAGAGTATAGCATCAATGCAACCACTGCGAGCTAGTCTGCTCAGTGCAATTTGGGGGAAGTATAGAAAGGAAGTAAGATGGCTGGTGGATTGAGAAATATCACACTACAGCACCTTCAACTACAACCATCAATACAGTTTTCAAAAACTCTTCAGTACCGACTCAGCAGCAAGAACAAAGCTTTTTTTTACCTACAACAATCAACAACCAACTTTTCACTATCATCACCATGCAGTGTACGCCCTCCTCCCTCCCCCCTTGATCCCCCCCAATCTAACATCACACAGTCACCACCATCCTCGCCGCGACCCTCTTCGCCATCTCCACCTCGGCAGCAACCCTCGCCACGCGTGCCCCCATCGAAGCCCGCACCGTAGGCTTCAGCCACTCGAAGCGCGCCTTTGAGCTCACTGCTGAGATTGCCGCCATGGAGAAGCGAGGCCAGTCTGCTGCTTGTACTATCTGCACGTTTGGGTGCGGTACCGGCGGCGATCTTGAGGCGTGTGATTGCTGTGCTGAGGGGGGTGCCTGCAGAGATGATGGAAGCTGCAACATCTAAACGGATTTTTTTGACAGGTTGGACTTGGGATTCACCTTTGGGGAGGGGGGGTTAGTTTGGGGATTCGCATAGTTTACCGTGGTGTGGTTGGTCCTTGTTAGGGGAGAGCATTAGAGGTTTTGCTGGTCTTTGTCTCTGGGGGTTTCTCTGCTTCAGGACGAGCTATTGAAAATTCAATATGAGTCAAGTTCTCTGTTGAAACAAAAGTGAAAGACTTGTTCCTGTGTGTATTTTTTGTGATTTGCCTATGTGGGGGAATGAGCGTTTTGGTCATGTGATATGTGATGCTGCTACCCTGTGTCTTGGTAGTTGCGTAGATGACTACGTACACCAACGATTCCCTGCCACTGTAGTATTCTTTCAAGCCCAAGTCAAACGCCAGGTATACTACCCTTAGGCCTCGATTTTCGGAGGAATTACTCAGTATGTAAATGCACTTGAGATCGCTTTCATCACCTGCCCCAGGGCTGAGGCGAGAGATATAACTCAAACACTGTATCAAGAACACATGACATGGCTGATAGCAGCCGAAATATCTACAAGGGCTCCTGCATACGACAAATCAACCACATCTACTCGACCTGTCATGAAGCGGTATGTCATCAAAATAACATCGTAACCATTACCCTCTACTAATGGCGCACTTATAACAAACTCGAAACACAGCACGAGTAACGGCCGGCAGCAGAAAAAGGCCCGTAGTAGTGGAGACTGTCCATACACATGCAGTACAGAGAGAAAGGCGACGATCAAGGGGGCCAGGGTTGATGCCTGTCTGTACCACCTATTCCAACGGTCAAGAGCCCCATTATAGCACTTATGCTTATACCTACCCCCATCACGCTTTAACAGTAGAGTTACAAAAAAAGAGGGTCGCTCAAAAGAACAAGCTATTACCACGTCTTACTACCCCGACGGGGACCACCCCAACACCTCGAACAGCGGACACGGATATTTGACAAAACCGTTTTTAATAAAACGGTTTCATATAGCTAACAAAAAAAGTACCGTACAGCGTATGCTTGTAACCCGCGACCAGCAACCAAGCAACCCCCCGTCCATCCGCATCTTCCGCCCCCGCAAGCGATGGGGGAAGAACAAGGGCTTGAAGCAGGCCCGAACCGGCGCCTCTTGCCGTCTCGAGGGTCATACCCGACGCGGCACTTATCAATAAGTATGCCCACACGCCCACTCGCGCGCCCCATAACCATGCCCTACGTATTATAACGTTTCCAAGACAAGCATGTCTGGCGTCTTCCGACGAAGAAAAAAGACTGAACGAGAGAAGGGCAAAGTGGGGAGGGGAGTGGGGTCACACACGCACCCACATTCACCCTTTCCCTCTTTCTGTCTCTCTCTCTTGTTTTGCCTGGTTTGCTCTGACCATCACCGGTCTCTTTTTTTCTCCCTCCCAGCGGGGGATCCACTTACCGTCCAAATTGAAAAAATGTCAAGAATTTTGCTTACTAGCTAGCTAGCTAGCTGACTACGGTCAGCTTTCGTGGTTTACTACATACTTATGTCGTCGACGACGAGCAAAGACGGACGACGACGCAAAAAAAGAAAAAAAAGCGGGCCCCATAACCACCCTTGGGGGGCGTCCGGGTCCATGCGGAAACTACCCTATTTCTCTCTCTCTTTTCCTCTGAGATAAAAGTGGGGAACAAAACGACGGAAACCTTTTCTTTTTTTTTCTTTGCAACAGCTGGGAATGGGAAATGGGTAGGTGAGTGAGCAAGTGTAGGGAAAAGTATGTGTGGAGGAGAGAAGATTTTCGTATAGGCAAATTAGACGGTTGTTAACCTGCTCCTTATCATTATCTTCTACTATCCGATCAATCCTCCCCCATGTCTCGTGTTCTCTCCTGTTCCTTACGCGACCCACGCACGGGTACCCTAGCCTTTTGCCAATTTTGACTGTAAAGTTGGTTGGTGCGAGGGTGTGTAAGTACAGTAAGCACGTTACTGTGGTAAGGAGGCACACACACACGCATACCCCAGTTCCCCCCATCACTTCCCCATATACCCATGTTTATCTCTGAGAGAGGAAGGGCGCCGTCTTGTCTGATTGATTGATTTAGGTCGAACAAGTACCCTTGCGCGCGGCAGTCGGGAGCCCCGACATCGCAGCAACCTGTTTGAGGTAGTGGGCGTGCTGTGTGGTCTAGCAAGGGGACTGACACCTTGCGGACGAAGACTAATACTTCGTGACGGTGCCTACCTTTTTTTGCCTTTGCGCGCGCAGGTGATCTTGCATGGGTAGCGGCTTTGCATAGTGGTTCTTTTCCGCCTGCAACGATCTGCGACGGGCGTGCGCTTGCGCACTCTCTCTCCCGCCCTCCCTGAGCCACATAGGCAGAAAGAGTTATCCTTTTGACACATCACGTAACCCTTATCCATGCATTGACTGTAACGCTGGCAGGGTCAAGGGGTTGAGTGGGTGGTGGGGGGCCATTGCAAAGTTCCGGGATCGCGTAAGTTTTGTTGTCTGTTTTTGTTTTTTAAACTCTTCTTGCACTTGCTGTCGTAGGCTCCGAGTATAATGATGTTGTGTGGCGCAGTCGGCTATCTGCTTGCTTTTTCCCGTTGGGCGTACTTCGTATTGGCTGTACGTACATGGAAAGGAGCGTGTCTTAGGCTTTGCCCGTTTGCAGGTAAAGTTTCCCGATGGCAAGATTGTAACATCAATGTATGCACGTCAACCTTTTAGGAAGTATGTGGGTACTATTGCGAGGTGTGGGTACCGTCTTGGAGTGGAAGGTAGGGGGCGGAGGGTGGATGGGTCTAGGGGCTTAGTAAATATATTGATTTGTTCTTTCGGCGTTACTTTGTTAATATTGAAAGGGTCGTCTTTTCTTAAACAAGTGTTTCTCTAGCGCTTGTCGCGAAATGCCACAGAGGGCAACTTGTTAACTTGCACGGGTCACTATCGCTGTGGGTCGCTGGTCGGGGCTAAGGGAGAATAAGTGGAGACATTTCGGTGTCGGTGAAGCATGCCCTTGTTGTCGTGGGATAAGGTGCCGAAATCTTAGCTGCAGGGCCTCCAGCTGCGGCATCATGTGAAAGAGGGCCTTGGAGACAGTCAACGTGCCCAGTCCAGTTTTAGGTTTGGAGACGATTTTAGGGGTCTTAAAGTGCGCCTCATCTTGCATATGCATGAGATGAAATTAACGTCTTATCGCATGTGCTTATTTGGAGAGGTCCTGGCTTGAATTAAGTTCCTGGATGGTGCACGATACTGCGCATCGCCACGTGACGCTTTTCGAAGCCTCCGGCCAATCGCTACACCTGCACAACAGCCTCATTCCGACCCAAGTACGGGTTCATCATGTAAACCCGTATGTGTGATACGGACGTATCGTACTTGAGATTACGCAGCCTCTGGTGGTCTCGAGCTGTTCCTTCCGGCGTCCAGCTGGCATCTTCCACGCGGTTTCATCGCATCATGCAAGCCACGCAGTCTGTGGAAGCCCAACAGGTATGGCACGCGATGACCCCGCACCTCATGACGCGTGCCCGATGATGTCGCCTGTAGGGATCAAGAGAGTAGGCGAGATTGTAAGGCGACCAACGGTAGTTGCGAAGATGGAATTTCGTTGGGAGGAGAGTTACTCCAGACTGGAGCAAACGCAAGCGAGTGCGGTAGATTGGAGACAAGTGGATCTCGCGGTCGCCTCACTCCACGCTCTCGATTGTCCAACAATGGTGGCGACGGCACGCCGTCAGCTTCTGATGAGGTCGCACGACACAAACAACGGGAGTACTGCATCAATAGTGCGGTGTAGTTGGACTTGAGGACGGAAAGATTGTACACATGGCGATATAAATCCCGAAGCTTCTTTCGGGGTAGAGCTGGACGGATAAAGAAGCTTCTTTGCATGTAATACTCCTCTCAAACTACAGAATTGTATACTCTCTATATCAGCAACGTGCTTTCTTTTCCCAAACCTAAAAGCTCTCAAGACCAACATCCAACCATGGTCCTCGAAGCCGCCCTAGGCCTCATCGTCGTTGGCAGCTTGAAACTCACAGCTCTAGGACTGGCACTCGCATGGAAAGCACGTTATCAAATCTAACACAGTCAACCCCAAAAGAGCATTCACAAGGAAAAAAGAAAGAAAAAGTAAAAATACCCATAAAAGCGAACAAGAGCACTCAGCGACGCTGCAAACCTGCCCCGTCAAACCAAAGGCAACAGTGCGGTTGAGCCTCACCGGAACCGCCCTCTCTCTCTCCGAATTTACCCCGCAGCACGCAACACCTTGACACAGCGACGTGCTTGCCAGTTCAGCCCCAACCCAGCACAAGTGGTGTGACCACCCACAAGAAAGCAAGTAGAAGAAGAGAAGAAAAAAAAAGAGTCTCAGCGTACAAAACGACAAAATAACCAGCCACCACCGACCATTCTCTCCGCATAAATCGCACACCTTACCTTACCTTACCTCCAACTTTTACCCCATACCATCCAACAACCATGTCCTCGTCCTCTTCCCCCACACGACGCTCCCAATCCCCCCAATCCTTCTCCCAAATCCCCATCTTGCCCCTCAGCGCCGCCCTCTCGCCAGACACCAAACCCCAGTTCCTGGTGGACTTGCGGTCAGCGCTGCTGCACGTGGGGTTCTTGTACTTGAGCGAGACGGGCTTGCCGGAGGCGCTGGTGCAGCGTGTGATTGGCGAGTGTCGGGGTTTCTTCGAGAACTTGCCGGTGCAAGAGAAGGAGAAGATTGAGATGAAGAATGAGAAGAGTTTTTTGGGGTGGTCGAGGGTAAGTTTTTTTTTCGTACTATTGTTATCTACCTTTTTTTCTTCTTCTCTTCTGCTTTGCTTGCTTTTTTGTTTGCTTTGGTTTGATGTTGGAGATTGGGTAAGTAAGTTACGATAGTACAATCACGATTTCCAAAGGGGAAGTTTTGCACACAAAGGTTCCGCAAAGATGTTTGTGGTCTATTGGAGCTTTACTCAAGCTCTATATATGCTACACGCTATGCATGGCCCATAGGTTCGGTTGCGGGAGCAGGTAATAAGCAAAGAAGAGGATGTGTGATTATGGTACAGAAAAAAAAGCGAAAAAGAAAAAAACAGCCGGCCGTTGAACCCGTGATGCGTGAGGGAAAAAGAAAAGGAAAAACAGCAGATTACCTTCCAAAATGCCACAAGTACTATCCACCGAGCAAAATAACAAGGAACAAAAAAGGA